GCCACAGCGCCGGCCCTTGCAGGTTACTTCTTGAAACGCTGACATACCACCTGGCCCCGCCCCGGCTGTTGCAGTCATTTAGGGAGTAAATTAGTGGATGGAAGATCTCTCTCTCTCTCTCCTTTCAAATAAATACATTTTAAAAAGAAAGGGCCATGTCACTGGGATGGAGGCCTGGAGGACGAGGGTGGGAGTGTGGCTGAGGCTCTCTCCTGGCCCAGCAGAACCCAGGGGAACCCCCTGCAGTTCCCCTGCGTCCACCAGAGGGCGCCCGCCCCTCGCAAATCTTGGGAGGTTCGCAAGCCCCGGGCGCCCTTCCAACACGGGCTCTGGGAGGCTCTGTCCTTGCCCGTGGTAGGCGCTTTGGGAGCCGGGGAAGGTGACCCCGGCCCTCAGGCAGGTCTCCAGGCGGTGGTCATGGCGTGCCAGGCCCTGCACTGGGGGAAAGTGCGTTCCGCTGGAGCAGCGAGGGCTCTGGAGGCCAAACCTTGCCTTTGGCTCAGCACAGACGTCGGTGAGCCCGGGGACCCCAGCAAGGCGGCCCTGACCTTCTTTCTGGGTAACAGTGCCCGCAGGCGGCAGCCTAAGGGCTGCATTAGACGTGGGGCCTGCGCGGCTCTTTGCCTGCCTGAGGCCTGCGTGGTGGGCGCTGGCCTTGGGAACATCTCTGATCTGAGCCAGGCTGCAGGAGCCCCGCCTGTGCAGGGTTGGGGGCCGGGCGCCCAGGGTCGAGGGTCCCTGCCCCCAAAGCCTCTCTGTCCCCGATCGCTGGACAGGGCCCCCCAGAACTCTGGTGTCTGATCTGAACAGGTAGGGAGATGCAGGGACCTTGTGTCGCCTTTTTCCTTTCTTTAAGATTTATGTATTTGAAAGAGCAAGAGAGATCTCCACTCCCCCAAGTGCTCCCAACAGCCAAGACTGGGCCAGGCCAAAGCCAGGAGCCAGGAGCTTGGTGGCAGGGCCCAAGCACTGGGGTCATCTTCCGCTGCTTTCCCAGGCGCATTAGCAGGGAGCCGGATTGGAAGTGGAGCAGCTGGGACTCGAACTCTATGGGGTTCCAGCTTAACCCGCTCTGCCACCCACCACATCGGCGCCTGCTGCTGTCTCAAGTGCACCCGTCTCTCCCCAAACCCTGACGCTGCAGACACCACGCTGCAAAGCTCTCCCGCTTGCACTCCACGGCATCCTCCATTGCTACCTTGGATCTGACCTGAAAGCGTTGCCTCTCTGGGCCGCTGACGCCCTGCCTGCTAGCCTCACCCTCAGCACCTCCTTCCCCGGGAAGCCTCCACCCTTTGCCCAAGGCACACACCAGTTGCCTGCCTGGCAGGAGCTAAGCAGGGGCTTGGCACTTAGCACACAGTGGGGACCCAGGATGGTAGTGGGGGGGAAGGGCTGGGATGCCGGGATCTACCCATAATGCCGTTTGCGCCTTCCCCCCAACCACAGCCGTCAGCTGTTGAGGCAAGACCAGTTGTGGGGACTGGAGGTCGGAGGCCCAGGCACACGCGGCTTCAGTGCCCACTGCCTGCGGGAGACAGGAGCACCCTGGGCCCCTCCTGTACCCCCACCCCCACCCCCACGATGACTCTCTGGGCCCCCCGCAGCCCCTCCACACGCTGGGCAGGAGGCTCCCAGGAGCTGTGAACGATTCACCTCCCAGCTGAGGCCTGTCCCTGGGAACCCCGATCTCCATCCTGTGCCTCAGTCCAGCAGGGGGGACTCTGCCTAAGCGACCCCCGGGCCCGTCATCCCTGGCGGGCTCCCACCACCTCCCTGAGGCCAAGTCCTCCCACTCACAACCCGTGTCCGCTCAGCAGTGGGCCTGCCCACACACCAAGGGGCGTTAACTCATCCTTCCTCCAGGGCAACCAGAGCTTGGCTCCAAGCGCGCCCAGGAAAGGAAAGCCAAGTCCTAGACAGACACCACGCGCCACCACCAGGGGGAGCCAGGACAGCAGACACCACGCGCCACCACCAGGGGGAGCCACTGCCTGGCGGAGCCACAGGGCGAGGCCTCGGTTCAGCCTGGGCTCTGCGGAGCCGTGGCCCAACAAGTGGCCGGGGCTGCGGACACCTCCTAGGCCTGGGCGTTGGGACTCCCGTCGCCCCAGCACAACCTGTAGCAAGCAGCCCCCCAGGCCCCCGGGAGACCCTCCCAGGTCCCACCCCCCTCCCCAAAGAAGCAGGCAGAGACAGCTCTGTTAGAACAACTCAGCAAAATAAAATTCCGGTTTATTGTTGGACAACATTGTTTCACACATACATCAAACAGGCCAAAAAAAATAAACAGCAACTTCATAGACAAAAAAAGGAAAAAAAGAAACCTTTTATCTTTGGCCTTTTTAACCATCTCATACAAACCAACTACTTATAGTACAGCTAAGTACATACACAAAAAAAGTTACTGGAATGCTCGGAATAAGATTGTTTTTTTGTTGTCGTTTTTGCTTTTTTTACAAGGTTTTTTTTCTCCTTTGAGATTAGAATGAACATGGTCACACCACAAGTAAAGTCAGAAGTAGGACAGAGGACGCTCGAAGGCTGGTCTGGTCATCCGAGATCATTAAAAATGGCTGACCCCTAACAATATGTACAAAAATATAAAATGTAAATAAAAAATACAAACAAATTTTCCTTTTTAAAGTACTTTTAAGAAAGAAAGCAGGGCCTGGAGTTTGGTGCTGTCCCTCCCCTGTTGCGAATTCACTGGGTTTGTGGGCGTGAGCGCTGCGTCCGCAGGGGCGCGGGCGGCCTCTACTCGGAGGTGACCACGTTGGGGGAGACGGGAGTGAGGGTGGAAGGTCACGGCGGCCTCGGGTTCACGGGTGCCTTCTGCCTTGCGGTCTAGTCATCCTCGTCGGTCTTCTGCTTCTTGGTGTCCACGTCGTCCTCCTGGGCAGAGACGCGGGGTGGCACTCAGCTCGGGCCTCGGACCCCCACAGGCCCGGAGCCCGCCCCTGCCCCGGGGGGCACCCACCTCGTCATCCTCAGCTGCCCGCTTGCCTGTAGCCGCCTCGGCCTCCTCGTCTTCGTCTCCGTCCTCTTCCTCACCTGGGGAAGGCCCAGGTGAGCGCCGGATGCCGGCGGCACTGAGTCCCCCCAGCCCCCCAGCCCAGGGCCAGGGCTCGCGTCTCGGCCGTGCGGCCGCCCTCCCCGGGGCTACTCACCATCGCCCTCTTCCTCCTCCTCTTCCTCCTCGCCACCTTCCTCCTCTTCCTCGTCTACCTCGTTGTCCGCCTCCTGCTCCCCGTTCTCCTCATTCTTCCCGGGAATGAGACCGCGCGTCAGCGCTGCCGAGCGGACCCCGGCCCCTGCCCGCCGCCCCCTGCCCCGGCCCAGCCTCGTCCAGCCCGGCCCCCGCCGTCCTCCTCCCCCGAGCGCGGGCGCACGCTCACGGCGTGGCCGCGGCGGAACGAGACCCGCGCGTCAGCGTCGCCGAGCGGACCCCGGCCCCTGCCCGCCGCCCGCCGCCCCCCGCCCCGGCCCAGCCTCGTCCACCCCGGCCCCCCGCCCCGGCGCACACTCACGGCGTTGCCGTTGGCGGGGGCGTCTCTCCCATTCTCCGCCTCCTCCACCACTTCCTTCTTCTCCTTCAAGTCCTTCGGGAACAGGGCAGCCGGGGCTTAGCGGCCCGGGAGTCCCCTCTGCCCCCCGATCCCGCGCGCCCGTCCCGCGCGCCCAGCGGCTGCGCAGCCCCGAACCCGCCGGGCCGGGCGGACGGCCCGCACCTGCACCCGCCCCCCGCCGGCTCGCTCCGCCCCCGGCCCGGCGGGGACGGCGACAGGTACGCGCCACAAATAAGGCCCGCGACCGAGGCGGGCGCCGCTGCGGGGAGACTCCCGCCCTCGGCCGCGGCAGGACCCTGCACACCGACCCTGGCCCCCGCGTCGTCGAGGGACGCCCCCCGCCCAGGGCCAGGCAGCTCCCACCCCGGCCGGCCCCGCACTGCACCCGGCCCGCGTCCCGGAAGGCCCCGCGCCACCCGCGCCCCGCCAACTTCTCCCGCACGAACGCCCCGGGGCACCTGCCGGCCCGGACCCCGGCGCCGCCCGCTCCCGCCCCCTGGCGGCCGAGGCCCCGGGGAGCGGGTGGGGGCGGGGAGGTCGTGGCGCGCGCAGGCGCCACCCCCGCCCGGCGCACTCGGCGCGGGCCTCGGCACGCACCGCGCGCACGGAGCACGTGGCCCGGGCGGCCAAGTGCACCCCCGGCCCGCGGGACACCGGGCCCGGGGCGCCCCCCGCCGCCGCCCGCGCCTCTGCATTTGGCGGGCAAAGTCCCGCGGGAGGCCGCGCCGGAGTCGCGGGGATGGAGACAGCCCGCGCCCCGGGGCCGGCGCCTCCCGCGGGGCTTCACCCCGCAGGCCCGCGGCCGCTGAGGCCCCGCGCCCGGCCGCGGCGCGCTCCGCCTGGGGAGTCGCCCCTGGGAGAGGCGGAGGTGACGCCAAGGTGACTCGCGCCGGGCCCCGCAGGGTGGGGAGCGGGAGCGCGGGACCTGGGCGCCGGGGCCCCGCAGCTGCACGTCCCGCCGCCGCCGCCGCGCCCGGCGCGGGCAGCCCCTCCGCGCCCCGTCCCAGCCCGCCCGCCACGGGCCCGCCGCAGCGCGCCAAACCCCGGCGGCCCGGCGCCCGAACAAAGAGCGGCGCGGCGCGGCCGCCGCCACTTCCCGCAGCCGGCCCGCGCTGCACACGCGCCCCGCGCACTTCCGACTCCCGGCGCGCTCGAGTTTCAAAGTTCCTCCCGCGCGCCCCTTCTCCTCACGCCGCCGGCCGCCGGCCACACAAGTTCCGGGTCCCCGCCGCGAGCCCCGCGCGCCGCCCCGGCCCGCACCGCCGGCCACGCCGCCCGCCCGCCGCGCCGCCCCCTCCCCCGCGCACACAAAGAGCGGGACGCGCGGGGCCGCCGTCGCCGTGAGGCGAACCGCGGACCCCGAGGGCGCGGGCGGCGGCCAGCCTCACCTTGGTGGTGATCTCGGAGCTGGTGTCCACGGCCGCGTCGGACATGGTGGGGCACGCCGGGGATCCGAGGCAGCGGACTCGAGAGAAAGCGGGCGTTCGGGGGCTCTGGCGACAAAGCTGCCGGAGTCCGCGGCGGCGGCGGCGGAGGCGGATGCGGCGAGCGGGGAGCCGGGCCCGGGAACAATGCAAAGATGGCTTTTCAGAGCAGCCAGTGGGGGACTCACGCGGCGCCAGAACCTTTAATATAGATTAGTGGGCGGCCCTCGGCGCCCTCTGCCCGCACGCTATTGGCTGAGCGCGGGGAGCGGGCGTCCGCTCATTGGCTCGAATCCGAACAATGGGCAAGCGTGCTTAAAGCGGCAGTGCCTCGGCGCGTCCCGCGCTGCGCAGTCGCCGGCCGTCCTGTCATTCAGGGCGCGAGTCGGCCGGGGCTCGGCGGCGCCGCCGCGGCCGCGGGGGAGGGGCTGCGCGCGCGGGCGCGTGCTCGGGGCGCGCGCTCCCGCCGCTGTTTTCGCTGGGGCTGCTGACGCAGAAAGCCAAAGCGCGGCAAAGCGGCCCGCCCAGCCCCCCGCGCCGCTGCTCGGAAGGAGGGGGAGGGGAGCGGCGGCCGCGCACGACGGCTGCCAGCGAGGGGGAGGGGAAGGGGTGCGGGCCGCGCTCGCCCCGGGCTGTGCCCTGCGGGGACGCCCGCCCCCGCGACACCACAGCCGGGCCCCGTCGGCCGGGCCCCGTCCCCGCGCGAGTGGACGGACGCCTCACGACGAGCGGCGGGCCGCCCGCGCGCCCCGGGCCGCCCCGTCCGCGTCTCACGTCGCCCCCTCCCGCCCCGGCGCCCGCGTCCCGAGGGTGCGGGACCGTGACCCTGTCGCCCCCCGCCCGTCCCTAGACGGCCGTCCGTCGCCCGCGCCAGCCGACGAGCGGGCCCCGTGCCAGAGACGCGATGCTGGGTGCGGGATCCTGCCCTCGAGCGGGACGACTCCCGCGCTTCGCAGCGCCCGGCACCACAGCCATGGGCTGCGGCCGTCGCCGTCGCGAAGCCCTGAGGGCAGCCGCCTCCCGGGGTCCCGCCCGGCCATCGAGTCTGCCCCCCTCCCGTCCCACTTCGGGGCTGCGACGAGTACGGGGACACTGCGGGGAGGCGGGCGGAGGGCGGCCGTCCGTCAGACAGGCTGGGGTAGTCCTTGGGGGCTCCTTGAAATTTGGGGAGCCATTGAGGGGACCACGCGGAGCCCCGAGAAGGGAACCATCATGTAGCCACACTCAAGATGGCGTCGAGCTCGGCAAGCGTGGCGTGACGTGGCGATCCAACCCACGCACACGATCCGAAAACCGTACGACACCCGCTGCTAATCGCCACCGCAGCTGACTGTCGAGCTACGAAGTCTGCTGTGTGGAAGCAAACACTGGAATAGGTGGGAAGGTAGTCCAGAAAAATGCCTGTGCCACACACAAGATGGCGACAGATGGCGATCGTCCCTGTGCTGCCAGAAGGGGGCGCCCGACACGGTAGGCGGGACTCCGGAGAAACGAGCGCGCACTGGCTGAGAGTGGCGGGCGAACACAAAGTTGACGCTTTGCGTCCTGCCATTGGCGGACGCTGCCGTCCGTCTCCTGGGGCGGCTGATCTGGGAGTGAGGAAAACCCGGAGCCTGGGATCGTGGAGAGAGGACGGATGCCAAATTTCCGCGGGGCTTGAAGTCGAGGGCGAAAAGAGAGACGGAGGCGCCCTTGTGTGCTTCCCTAGGTCACGGGCGAGCTGGTCCCACCCCCAGCGCGAGCCCCCCACCCTGGGCTGCGCTAGAAACGGGCGCGCAGCCCGGGCGCCCCCAGGCTGGGTGCCCTCCGCCCCCTGTCCCGCACGCGTCGGGGCCGCAGCGCCTCCCGCGTGTGCCAGTCTGGCTGCGGGCCCGTGGGGCGCTCCCGGGAGACTTGACTGAGGGGCAGGTGCCGCCCCCCCCCCCCGCGCGCGCGCCCAGCGGGCGCCGTCCGGTCCCGGCGAGCCCCCGCCCTGGCCCGAGGCGCCCCCGGGCTGGAGGTGGGGTTCTCCTCGGGGTGGGCGCGCGCCAGCCCTGAGCACGCTGCGGCCGGTGTCCCCGAGGGCCGCGCGCCCAGCCCGCTCTTTGTTCGGCGCCCTCGCTGCGGCTGTCTGTTCCTGCACCGCCGCCGCCGCGCCCGAGCCCCAGCTCTCGGGCCGCCCGTCCCCGCGCCGCCGACACGAAGCTCCGGTTCCTCGCCGGGGCATTGTTCCGGCCGCGGAACCGGGAGGCGGCGAGGGCTGGGCCCGCGCCACATCTCGGCCCTGGAGGCTTCCTCCCCGACGGGACGGGGAGGGGGGCGTCGCCGCGGCCGCTGTGGGGGCTGGGTGAATGTGAATTTCCCTCGGAAAGCTGCTTTGCCTGACCTCGCCGGAGCACCCCGCTGTGCTTACAAAATGGGTGCGCAAGGCCCAAGGCCACCCAGTTACGCAGGCACCGCAGGGAGCCTTGTATGCTTACACGGCGGGGAGGGGGGGGGCACGACGGGCTTGAGTGGACCCCACTGATGTTTCTTGAGTCAAAACCAGCTGAAACCCACTTCTGCCGGTTCCAGCCTCTTAACACGGTGTCCACTTGCTTGTCACAAATTGAAAAAGTAGACGCAGGGGGTATAGTAAGGTCCTGGAGCTGCGGTTGGCGAAAGTGGACTCCCTGGCGCCTCCTCTCCGGGGGGTGTGGCTCTGGCCGCCCCTGCCTGGTGGGGTCCTTGGGCCCCTCTTCTGTTGCTGCAGGGGCTCTTCATCCAGCCCCACCCTGGGAAAGGTCCAGCCGCTGCTCCCCAGGGTGCATGTGTCACAGGTCAGGTGCTTGGGGGCCTTGCCCCTCTGAACCGCGGTGCCCTGCTGGGCTGCATTTCCGGCCCAGGTCTGAGCACTGGACTTGGGTGAGAGGCCCCGATGGCCTGCAGGCCAGTTTTGCTTTCAGGGAATCGTCACGGGGACACCTCTGGGTTACCTGCATTCCGTCCACCAGGCCCACAGACCTGTCCCTGCCCAGCCCCGGTCACGTTTGTCTCAACTGCCTGCCCTGTGGGCACTGAAATGTCCAACCTAGGCCCGTTCCTCCGCTGCTCCAGTGTGTTCCTAATTGCTTAGCTCGCAAATCTGCTTGATTCTTGGAAAACCAGGCCAAACTGTCCATGCTGGTTACAACTGCCTGGGTTCGACGTCCGACCGGGTCACAGGTGAGCTGTGTGCAACCGGCTTACCTGTAACACTGGGCAGGCATGACAGTACCCACCTCGCGGGGTCCCTGTGGGCACGAATGAGTTAATGTGCAGAAATGTGCAAAGTGTCTGGCTCATGTAGCGGGGAGGTGGCCGTGCTCTGGGGACTCCCTCGTCCAGAGGCCATCTGTACCTGAGTGGGCTGGTCTTCCGTGTCTGCAGGGCTCTGGACAAAGGAACAATGTCTTCCACAGCTTCTCCCCACGCTCGGTGGCAATGGAGGGTGCTGGCCGTTGGGTTTCGAATCCTACGATGCGGTGCCCGACACGCTTGGCAGCCCCGCAGGCCTCGGAGGAATGAGAGCGAGCCTAGGAGGCCACTGGAGTGGGCCCAGCCTCGGACCCCGCCTTCCCGCCCTGGCAGAGCCCAGGAGTTTCAGGCTGTGGCTTCCTCGCCCAGGCGTAAGGGCCTTCGAGCTGCCAGGGGCCTTTCAACCCTCCCGCCTGGCGCGCCTGGCGGCCTGGATTGCGTAAGAGCCACCCCCCCCCCCCCCAGCCGCCCTCTCTGCACACGTCCGGGCCTGCCCGTTCTCCTGGAGAGCTGGGCCAGAGGCCCGGCTCCTGGTCCCCGCACAGGTCTGGCCACCCCGGGAGGCTCCTGCCTGGCAGGGAGTGGGTGGGTGGGGACCATCTCTGGACACTCAGAGCCGGCCTGCAAGCCGCTGCCAAGGCCTGTGGAGCCCGGGAAGGAGCCAGGGAGGTGAGTGTGCCTGCGATACCTTGGCGGCTCTGGGAATCCCTGTCCCCTCCACAGGTCCGTGCCGGTGGCACGGCTCACGCTCCGTGGAGTTTGGCTTAAGCTTTGGTTACCATTTGCGAGTGGGTGGGCCCAGCCTCTCAGTGGCAGAAGGCGCTGCTGGGAGGAGCGTGAGAGCTGGCACGCACCTGGGCGCTACCTGGGAGAGCGGCGCACCTGAGGCAGGGCGGGATGCCTCTGCGGACCAGCGGACTGGGCTGCAAACCTCCACCCCCGCCCCTCGCTGCCACCTGCCCCCACCACCGCGCCATGGGAGGCCCCCAGTGAAGTACCAGGCCGGCAGGCCCAGCCCAGGGAGCTCACCCTTCCCTGCTCACCTGAGACAGTTTTTTCCACCTCCCTCCACCGCAGGCAGACAGGTCCCTTCCACTCTTGTTTGGGGTCACAGGACCCGCCAGGACTTGGTCCCCTCTTAGCTAAGGGGCACACACACCCAGGGTGACCCCGTCCCAGCTTGCCAGGGACGAAGGGGCCTCGGGCTGCAGCCAGCAGACTCCGCGGCAACCCGGGGCGTGTTTGTCGGTCACTGTGGTCCGGTCGTTATTCGTGCTGGGAAGAATGACATTCCTGAAGGAATCTGTAACCACTGCCAGGAGGAGGCCCACGGCCTTGGATGCAGCAACGGATGCTGCGTGCCCTGCCCTCAGAGCCCGGGGGCTGGAGCTGGAAGGACCCCAGAGCATTTGGCCAGCACATGGCACAGCGGAAGGATTGAGGGGCTTAGGCAGATCACAGAGAGCCGGCGGCAGCGGGACCTCCCACGTGCTCCGGGAGGCCTGTCAGTCGCCTCCCAGCCTGGAGGGCTGCTCACAGAGACCCACTGGTCTCCAGATCCGGGCGGGGATCCGGGCGGGCAAGCACTTCTAGTACCCGGAGGAGATGTCTCAGGCTCATCTCAACAAACCTCCTGGTCCAGGGGTCCCCGGGGGGCCGAGGGGGCTCAGAGAGAGGAAAGCCGGCGCTCCTGTACCTGAAGGGGCCGCCCCGGGCTTTCCCCAGCTGTAGCCAGCTCTCCAGAGCCAGCGCGCAGTCGGGGCCAGGCCTGGCGCCGTGACCCCTGACCGGCCGCCCCGTGCAGATCTCTTCCTGGCCGTGCCGCCTTGTTGCTGTTGGGATGCTCCAAGCGTTACCTCAAGGCCTCAGCTGCCGGCAGGGTCTCCGAACCCCCAGCTTGCTGAACGGAAGGCGTAAGGCTCAGATCCCAGCAGTGTCCACCCTGACCTGGACTGCTCAGGGCGCGGAGCTCTGGGGTACCGAGTCCTTGGCCAAGCAGGGCGGTGTGAATCACCTCCACATTAATCCGTGTCCTCTGGGGGCCTGCGGCATATGCTGGAGGTTTCCCCCATTAAGAGGGCTGGAGGCAGGCGTGTGGTGCAGTGGTTAAGATGTGGCTCAGTTCACTTGTATCCCATGTCCGAGTGCTGGGTTCGAGTGCTGGCTCCGCTCCCAGTTCCAGCTTCCTGATGTTACAGGATGCAGCAGGTGATGGCCCAAGTAGTCCCAGCTGTTGCAGGCATTTGGGCGGCGAACCAACGGATGGGAGGTCTCTCTCTGCCTTTCAAATAAATTGTAAACATGTAAGGGCCAGAGTTGTGGCACAGTGGGTAAAGCTGCCACCTGCAAAGCCGGCATCCCATATGGACACCAGTTCAAGACCTGGCTGCTCCAGTTCTGATCCCGCTCCCTGCTAATGTGCCTGTGAAAGCAGCAGAAGATGGCCCAAGTGCTGGGCCCCTGCACCCACATAGGAGACCTGGGAGAAGCTCCTGGTCCTGGCTTTAGCCTGGCCCAGCAAATGGAAGATTCTCTCTCTCTCTCTCTCTCTCTCTCTCTCTCTCTCTCTCTCTCTCTCCCTTTCAAATACATAACATAAATCTTTTATAAAGAATTTAAATTTTATCTTAAAAAAGGAAATGATTGCTCAGTTGCTCCTAGTATCGCACTAAGTCCCCTTCCCGGGGCATTCTCAGTACCACAGGAGAATGGAGGTGACCCCAGCCTGTTTCACCGACTGCACCTGCCTGCAGGGGGGCGGTGGGAAGTGTCCAGGTGAAGACGCTGAGCCCAAAGCCTGGCCCTGCTCCGGAACACAGCCCCTGG